CTGCCCGAAGAGCTCAGAGACAGAATTGTGGCAAAGCTGTATATTACTGTCATCAGGACATTACTTTAATAAACAGCTCTGGCTGATAATACTTCATAATTGTAACAAAACACACTTTTTTTTTTTTTTTAAAGCTGCTTTGAAAATGTTTTTTTTTTTAAAGTGCTATACAAATAAACTTGAATGAAAGTGATAGCAAATATATAACCGTAAAGAAGTGATAAATAACAACTACTATGCACAATTATTTATTTAACATTCTTCTGTGACAAACCAAATGAACAAAATTCAAACTCATGGTGTTAAAGCTGCTTTGAAAATGTTTTTTTTTTTTAAAGTGCTATACAAATAAACTTGAATGAAAGTGATAGCAAATATATAACCGTAAAGAAGTGATAAATAACAACTACTATGCACAATTATTTATTTAACATTCTTCTGTGACAAACCAAATGAACAAAATTCAAACTCATGGTGTAGCAGTCATCCTTAGAATGAAAGTGATAGCAAATATATAACTGTAAACAAGTGACAAACAACAACTATGCACAATTATTTATTTAAAATTCTTCTGACAAACCAAATGAACAAAATTCAAACTCATGGTGTTGCAGTCATCCTTAACTGTGTTGAATTCCTGGTGTAATCTCATAACTGAGCTATCTTCTGGTGTAGAGCAGCTTTCATGTCTGCACAATGCAAATTGTCTGTGATTGTAGTGAAGAAGTGACGTGTGTCGAGTCCCTGCAGGGCAGTGCAGCTGTCGGGATATGCTGAGATCACAGCCTCATAGTGGGTCAGAATCTCCAGTGCACACAGGAACAGTGCCTCTGGTTGACCAGGTATCATCACCTGCACATGGAGCACGTGACAGAAGAGCTGAGTGAACACAAACAGAACTTCCTGACTGCAAGCTCCAGATGTTTTGGGGGATGGCGTAGTGGATGGCAGGGGAATCTTCTCAGTAACTGAGCTGATAATGCCCCTCATCGCATTGGCATAAAGCCGTCCCGTATGCACCCAGCCTTGAGGTGAAAGCCAATCAGAACAGCTCGAACTGCAGAGCAGCTGGAAGATCCGCAGAAGAAACACTGATAAGCGCAACTCGCCGGCAAACGAATGTAGATCGAGTAACGGAAGGAAATCTACATATTCTAGTGAGTATGGCACATAGAGTTTGCTTGACTGTAGAAGTTCTTGTAACACTTTCAGAAGTCTTTCCCATTCCCTAGATGTGCACCACGGGAGAATCTGGCATACTGCAACTAACTGGCCCTTGCCGAACATGTTGACTTCATCTGGTTTCAGCAAGTTTAGGGAGAGAGATTCCAGCATTGCCTCATGAACACGGTCTGAGAGAGCGCAGCATTCCAACCATGCTACAAGTCCAGTACCTTGTCCATACTGAGGCAAGTCCAGGCCGGACCACTCCTGCTCAGGAAGATCACAAACTGACAACAGTGTGTTTGGAACTTCATACTTGAAATGGTTTCCCCACACATCCTTCAGGTAAAAACGCACGGTCCAATCCAGTTCCTCCACTTTGCTGTAGAGCCAAAAGAGAGATCTGGACCAAACATCAGGAGCACGGGCCACTTCCTTGCCAACAATTATCCCCAGTGTGTGCAGTACAGACAACAGCAGATCTTTGGACTCCATGGAGATGAGCGTCTCGCTCTCTACCGGCTGGTTCCAGCACCTATTGCACTCATTCAAGAGCTGAGCCAGACAATATAAAAGCGGGAATGGAGAGCAGCTCATAATCCAATGCACTGTGTCACTCCTGGTCTCCTGGCTCAGTGTGCACTGAAGAATTTGGAGACAAAACACTAAGTTGCTTGTGCTGGGAGATGCTGGGAGAAGGTATGGCTGGACAAACACATGCAAGACTTCTTCTGCAGGAAGGAAACTCCGCTTTTCCCCTGTGCTTCCAGTTAAGTTGCACTTCATCATCTCAGCCAAGAATTGCAGAAACTGGTTCTCCTCTTGAAGTGAGGATAGCTTGCTCCACACGGTGTCCTGCAGGCATCGACACAGCAAGTTGTCTTTGTGAATTCCCGGTGAAGACATGAGACCTGAGAGCTGCTGGAGAATCTCAGTTATCATAGCATGGGCTCCAAGGTTGACAACAGCCATGTGGCAGCATCGCCGCAAAGTGGCTTCAGGGTTCTGGAAAGCCACTCGGGCCACAGCAGAGATTGCTGCATCAAGGCTGCTGTTCGCACCACTTTGAATGATGCTGTTGAAGGCCAGATTGAGTTCCTCGGAGAAACCTATAGTTACAGAACTGGGAAGAAATCCGTGAAGACCTTTTCTGGAGATGGAGAGCATTTCTGAAAGCGTAGCATTTTTTTCAGGTAAGGACAAGTGGGAAAATATGTTTACAATAACATCCTTGAGCTTTTTGCAGTGCTGAACATCAGCATCACTTTGACATTTAGCTGTAAGCGTTGAGATCAACGTCATCAGAAGCTCTTTGGTTTGAAACACACTTCCATTTCTCTCTAGACAATGAATCCACTCCATCTCACTGAAATTCTGACTAAGTTTGGAGGCCAACAGTCCAGGAAGGCCTTCAAACCCCTCAAGATGATGGTCTAAGATGGTTATGGAAATATTTGCTAATTCAGCTGCAGAACTTTCAGGAACAGTGAATGATAAAGACGCCATTAAGCCTTTCAAAGTTACTCTCAAATTATTCAAAGTCTGTCCATTTCCAACCAGGTCTTTTGCATGTGATGGTTGCTCCAAAGATGTCAGAACTCTATCCAGGCTATCTTTCAGACGGATCGCCATGACACTTGGGTCACTACTGGGCATCTTCAGAAGCCCCATAACCTCCCAGGAGCATATAATCTCAAGTGTGACCTGCATGGCCTGAATGAATGCCATTCCACACGGCTTGGTCTCTGCAGGAGTGAGAGTGGCAGCAAGGTCTCTCTGAGCCTCACGTATGTTCTGAATCAGGTCACAACCATCTATCACTTCTTTTCTCTTTTTAAGGCTCACTGTGCGAGAGATGTTTTGGAGTTTAATTTCGATGGAGAGATCGGTAGCATTATCTAAAAGGTAGCTGGTATACAATGTGTCCAGGCAATTAGAGAGGGCAAAATAACACAACTCAGAGGAAGTCAAATGCTCTTTTATTTTCCTCAGCCCCTCAAACAGTACGTGCACCACACATGTTGATTCTGGGTCAGGTTTGAATCTTTTTGATGCCAGGGGTGATGGCTCAGTCGTGGACATCATGGAGCGTGAACACTGAGCTGTAAAGAGCTGGTCTAAGGCATCAAGACATCCTCTCTTGTTCTTCAGTAGTTCCCACCACACCTCCAACAGCAGCTTCACGTCTGCTTCTGTACTGCTGCTTGTCACATGATCAACTAACAGCTTGAGCTCTTCACACCGTTCAGCTGGTTGAAAGCACAACAGCAGCTCCACATATATGGTAGAAAAGCTCAACGACTTAACCAGCTCAAACAGCACAATGTGATTAATGTCAGGAAGGCTGTTCTGTACCGCAAACAATGGGTCTTCCTTCCATCTGATATCAATGTCCTCTCTGTTCCTCACCTCTAAGATTTTGCTCCACACAATACAGAGAATCCTCTTTCTCCAATGGACTCTGTCTTTGGAGTCTCTGAGCGAATGTTCGCATATCTCTTTGACTGCGTTAACAATTGGACATCCAATTCGATCCCAGTCCTCTTTCTTCAGAGACAGCAGTGGCTCAGGTTGGCATATCTGATTTGCCAGTAAGAATCCTCCCTGTAGTACAGCAGTCTTCTCACAGCTCAGCCATGACTCTGAAACAGAGGTGAACCAGGTGTTGATTTTTTCAGGCATGATAAATATCTAAACCTTGTATTAACACTTTCCATGTTAAGCATAGTTTCCACCAAAATATCAGTAATTAGAGTTGTTTTTTTTAAATAATACAAATACGGATTTAGTTATAGTCCAGTAATCAATTTGCATATTTTAATACATTTTCATGTTTGTGTTGGGATATATTTAACTGTTATGGAACTACATTTTGTCTGTTCCATAAATTAATGTTGGATCTACTTGAAACAGCGAAATGCTTTCAGAATCATTCCGTCACTTTGATTATATATGAATATTGATAAAATGGGACACTTTGATTACTTGGCGTTTCGATCATGGTGGTGTTTTTAAAATATGATCCAAATGGCTGAATCATGTCATCATGTGCTATTAAGAATAGAAATATATACACTGTTAAGCGCAGATAACGTCAAGCATGAATTAAACAACGTTTCAAGTACAAGTATATTATTTCACATTAAAACTACAAAAGATGATTACCTTGAGCCATGATTTCTGTGCTTGCAAAGAAATGTCACCGGATGTAACTATATATCCACTGAATCCCCACGCTGAGAAAATTATCACGGCTGTCACGATGCATGCAGTTTTCAGATGTTTATTTCCGGAAATCTGAGAGAAATTTTAGTTTTGAATGCTTAACACGTTTGCCTTTCGAGTTTTCAATGCAGAGCGTGTGTGTGTGCTTCCGTGTCACCGAAGACGGCTGGAGAGAGAAAGAGGCGAGCGCCATCTCATGTTCCGCGTGTGGTTTTTTATTTTGTTTTTTTTGTAGCGCCATCATCCGGACGTGGTGGGGAGTTTCACCTCAGTGACTCGAATCTTTAGAATCCCTCCACAAAAAAGATTCATTCACTTTCGTTCATTGAGTCGTTTAGTGACGTATTTGCAGGTTTTGATTCACTCAAAAGATTCATTAAAAACACCGAGTCCTTCACAAAGACTTGTTATATATACATATATATATATATATACACGCTTTACTGAATTGTGTCATTCTTGCAGACTGACTTGTCAAAGTTCATTCAGTTCGCTAAAAATAAACGGTTAACTAAAATACGAGTCAGTGCATGGGATTGAACGCGACAGATTCGTTCACAACCGACACAGAGCCAGACTCACATCAGTTTGACGAAACGAAAGAGAAAGTAAATGCTTGCATGGCGGTTTTAGGAAACTGGAATGATTGTCCCGAGGACGAGATTATACATTATGTTTTGGACTTTTGGCGGTCTTATCCTAGCACTTTTATGCTTAGGTATTTGTAAATATGATTTGTAAAGATTATTGCTGTCGAGTCACCGACTAATTTTTCCTTCTTGGCTTCCTTTACTCGTATAATGAAATATTATGCAAAATGTGTATTTTATATATAAAACGGAGCTATCAGGTAAATTAATTAGTAATATTTTAAAGGAAACAAAGTCACTTTTATATTGCAAGGTTGTTTATAATGGGGACTGTGTATACTATTACTTCTATTTTCCACTATTCCACTAAGCTCCACTTTTCATTTACAATTAATTGAGTATTGGGTTTATCCTGTTATTATTCCCTTTATTTACTGATTTGTTTGTTTTGAACAGGTGTAAGTGGCTCACAGTCTCTTTATGATGTTCAGTGGCTTCCTTGTCCGTTTGTGGATGAGAAAGTTCATGTAAATGAAGAAGGCCACACAGAAACCAAGTATATCAACAGAGAGGCTGTGCTTCAATTTGGTAATGTCGGCGACAAGCCTTTACACCCTACCATTACCTTCCTTGTCACAGGTGAGTGAAAGTGATTTGAAGTTATAACCTTAATAAAGGGCCTATCCTTTGCTCTTTAATGAATCTACTGTGTGTTCATTTGTTGTGTATAATAATGCAGCCTCTAAAGTGGATATGAGACGTTATTTGGAGGGAAGTGAGGATACACTACACTGTGAGATCCGTAGATACAGCACTGGAGGGATTGTAATGCGCTGGCCCACCGCAGGAGCGCAAGATCATGACGTCTGGTTCACCTGTACAATACGCCATACACAAGGCTTGTTTGTCATCACCACCTTCCTCAGGCACACAACTGCGACTCCAGCTCAAGGACAAGTGGATTTCCTGCAATGGATAATAGTCAATGATAGGGATCTCCTGTCAACATCAGGTAACAATCAGGCAGGGGTGTTTCCTCCTAGGAGGCAAGGGAGGCAGTGCCTCCTCCAAAAATTGGATAAGAATATAATACAAAAATAAAACAATGCAAATATTCAATTATCCCAGCATTTTCAAGTCATTTGGTGAGTGATCAGCTTGGTTAAATTAAAGGTATATTTTCATGTGTGTGACAATAATGATGCCTGCATTGTTTACTGAACCTTGATTACTGATGATCTGAAAATAAGTTGACTACCTGAACAATACTGAAAAAATAAGGTGTTCTTACATTGTTTTTAACACGTAAATATGCTTAAAAAGCACTACCTTGATGAGAAATATACTTAATTTTAATAAATACAATATTAATTACATTGTTAATGTAAACATACAAAACAACGGTTGTCGAAATGCTTTCAGAATCATTCCGTCACTTTGATTATATATGAATATTGATAAAATGGGACACTTTGATTACTTGGCGTTTCGATCATGGTGGTGTTTTTAAAATATGATCCAAATGGCTGAATCATGTCATCATGTGCTATTAAGAATAGAAATATATACACTGTTAAGCGCAGATAACGTCAAGCATGAATTAAACAACGTTTCAAGTACAAGTATATTATTTCACATTAAAACTACAAAAGATGATTACCTTGAGCCATGATTTCTGTGCTTGCAAAGAAATGTCACCGGATGTAACTATATATATCCACTGAATCCCCACGCTGAGAAAATTATCACGGCTGTCACGATGCATGCAGTTTTCAGATGTTTATTTCCGGAAATCTGAGAGAAATATTAGTTTTGAATGCTTAACACGTTTGCCTTTCGAGTTTTCAATGCAGAGCGTGTGTGTGTGCTTCCGTGTCACCGAAGACGGCTGGAGAGAGAAAGAGGCGAGCGCCATCTCATGTTCCGCGTGTGGTTTTTTATTTTGTTTTTTTTGTAGCGCCATCATCCGGACGTGGTGGGGAGTTTCACCTCAGTGACTCGAATCTTTAGAATCCCTCCACAAAAAAGATTCATTCACTTTCGTTCATTGAGTCGTTTAGTGACGTATTTGCAGGTTTTGATTCACTCAAAAGATTCATTAAAAACACCGAGTCCTTCACAAAGACTTGTTATATATACATATATATATATATATACACGCTTTACTGAATTGTGTCATTCTTGCAGACTGACTTGTCAAAGTTCATTCAGTTCGCTAAAAATAAACGGTTAACTAAAATACGAGTCAGTGCATGGGATTGAACGCGACAGATTCGTTCACAACCGACACAGAGCCAGACTCACATCAGTTTGACGAAACGAAAGAGAAAGTAAATGCTTGCATGGCGGTTTTAGGAAACTGGAATGATTGTCCCGAGGACGAGATTATACATTATGTTTTGGACTTTTGGCGGTCTTATCCTAGCACTTTTATGCTTAGGTATTTGTAAATATGATTTGTAAAGATTATTGCTGTCGAGTCACCGACTAATTTTTCCTTCTTGGCTTCCTTTACTCGTATAATGAAATATTATGCAAAATGTGTATTTTATATATAAAACGGAGCTATCAGGTAAATTAATTAGTAATATTTTAAAGGAAACAAAGTCACTTTTATATTGCAAGGTTGTTTATAATGGGGACTGTGTATACTATTACTTCTATTTTCCACTATTCCACTAAGCTCCACTTTTCATTTACAATTAATTGAGTATTGGGTTTATCCTGTTATTATTCCCTTTATTTACTGATTTGTTTGTTTTGAACAGGTGTAAGTGGCTCACAGTCTCTTTATGATGTTCAGTGGCTTCCTTGTCCGTTTGTGGATGAGAAAGTTCATGTAAATGAAGAAGGCCACACAGAAACCAAGTATATCAACAGAGAGGCTGTGCTTCAATTTGGTAATGTCGGCGACAAGCCTTTACACCCTACCATTACCTTCCTTGTCACAGGTGAGTGAAAGTGATTTGAAGTTATAACCTTAATAAAGGGCCTATCCTTTGCTCTTTAATGAATCTACTGTGTGTTCATTTGTTGTGTATAATAATGCAGCCTCTAAAGTGGATATGAGACGTTATTTGGAGGGAAGTGAGGATACACTACACTGTGAGATCCGTAGATACAGCACTGGAGGGATTGTAATGCGCTGGCCCACCGCAGGAGCGCAAGATCATGACGTCTGGTTCACCTGTACAATACGCCATACACAAGGCTTGTTTGTCATCACCACCTTCCTCAGGCACACAACTGCGACTCCAGCTCAAGGACAAGTGGATTTCCTGCAATGGATAATAGTCAATGATAGGGATCTCCTGTCAACATCAGGTAACAATCAGGCAGGGGTGTTTCCTCCTAGGAGGCAAGGGAGGCAGTGCCTCCTCCAAAAATTGGATAAGAATATAATACAAAAATAAAACAATGCAAATATTCAATTATCCCAGCATTTTCAAGTCATTTGGTGAGTGATCAGCTTGGTTAAATTAAAGGTATATTTTCATGTGTGTGACAATAATGATGCCTGCATTGTTTACTGAACCTTGATTACTGATGATCTGAAAATAAGTTGACTACCTGAACAATACTGAAAAAATAAGGTGTTCTTACATTGTTTTTAACACGTAAATATGCTTAAAAAGCACTACCTTGATGAGAAATATACTTAATTTTAATAAATACAATATTAATTACATTGTTAATGTAAACATACAAAACAACGGTTGTTGTTGTCAATGTTAAGTGTAACTGGAACATAAATGTACACATTAAAAAACGTATTTTAAAAAAACAGTGAGAACTTTGCCTCCACATTTCAGAGCACCACTGTAGTCAAGGGGCTCTGCTACTTTTTCCCCAACCACCTTTCATCCTGTCTTCCATATGTGTTTTCCAGCTGCAATGGTTGTTTTGACCCGGACACCCTCAGTGGAGGTGGGATTCTTGAAGGAGCCAAACCTGCACTGTCAGTTTGCAGTAGATCATAAACTGCCTAATGCAACAGTGGAGTGGAGACTGCAGCGGCACGGGGAGCGCAGCAAGCTCTTCAGCTATTCCAGCCGCACAGGGAAGATTGAAGGCAGCGGAGTAGCTGTCAAGATGTAAATATGCTTAAAAAGCACTACCTTGATGAGAAATATACTTAATTTTAATAAATACAATATTAATTACATTGTTAATGTAAACATACAAAACAACGGTTGTTGTTGTCAATGTTAAGTGTAACTGGAACATAAATGTACACATTCAAAAACGTATTTTAAAAAAACAGTGAGAACTTTGCCTCCACATTTCAGAGCACCACTGTAGTCAAGGGGCTCTGCTACTTTTTCCCCAACCATGTTTTATTTCATCCTGTCTTCCATATGTGTTTTCCAGCTGCAATGGTTGTTTTGACCCGGACACCCTCAGTGGAGGTGGGATTCTTGAAGGAGCCAAACCTGCACTGTCAGTTTGCAGTAGATCATAAACTGCCTAATGCAACAGTGGAGTGGAGACTGCAGCGGCACGGGGAGCGCAGCAAGCTCTTCAGCTATTCCAGCCGCACAGGGAAGATTGAAGGCAGCGGAGTAGCTGTCAAGGCCATCGCCGCTGGAAACGCCTCCTTTAAACTTCCACCCACCAGAAAACACAGCGAGGGCACATATATCTGCTCTGTGATGGTTCCTCCTCTCTATGGCAGCCTTGATATTCCCCTTACCCTAAGTGGTGAGATGATACATTTCTTTAACTCAATTCAGTTCATGTTTATTTTTGTATAGTTTATTTATTGTTTCAAATCAGCTTCAGAGATAAGTGGGGTCAAATGTCGTTTTGGACCCCATTGACTTTCTTTGCATGGATAAAAACAGCTATTACATTTTTCAAAATATCTTCTTTTGTGCTCCACTGAAGAAAGGAAAGTCATGCAGGTATGGAATGACATGAGGGTGAATAAATGATGGAACTATCACTTGAATGTTTCCAGTGGTGAGATGATACATTTCTTTAATTCAATTCAGTTCATGTTTATTTTTGTATAGTTTATTTATTGTTTCAAATCAGCTTCAGAGATAAGTGGGGTCAAATGTTGTTTTGGACCCCATTGACTTTCTTTGCATGGATAAAAACAGCTATTACATTTTTCAAAATATCTTCTTTTGTGCTCCACTGAAGAAAGGAAAGTCATGACATGTATAAATTATAAATAAATTGTTATATAAATAATAAATATATTTGTTATTGTGAATAAATATTTAGCCCAAAAAATTATTTAATTAGGTATTTAATATTTATTTATTTTCTTTGTTGTACACAACTATTTCCTGATTTATTTTTCTTAGAGTAAAACAATGTAATACACATATTTTTGATTGTAATATCTCAGAATTGTGCATCCCAACTCCTGGTCACAATTATTTGTCATCAGTAGACAGTGATAAGTAAAGAATTAATTAAGGCAGTCTGTCAAAGTTTAAATGTTATCTGGAATAAAAACATTGTTTCACCTTTCAATTATTCTATTCACCTGTGCAAGTTTCATGTTCTTAATATTTTCTCTTTTTTAGGTAGAAAAGCAGCAAAAAAGGTGAGAATGAAGGTGTAATAGAATAGTAACAATAACATTTCTAACAACATCCTTTGTGCAAATTTACATGAACCCCAGCTGTGTATGACTGAATATGAGTGAGATGAATGGGCTCTCTGTACTGTTTGTGTATGTGTGCGTGCTGTGTGTTTTACACACCTGTGTGTACATGAATGTGTAGTTACTGACATATGTGGAAGTGTGACATAAGTGTGTGCGTCTATTTGCCATATGTCCAGTCTCACGCTGTATGTTTACCTTATGTCTCATATGTGCAGAGGTTTTGAGAGCTCATGCCTGAGGACTTGAAGTACAGCGTCATGGAAACCGACAACACATCCCTCCCTTCGTCTCTTTTTCTCCCCTCATCCCTGCCGTTTCCTCCTGCTGCTACGTTCGCCAAGATCAGGTGCTCTTCATGAGAAAATGGGGAGTGCGTTGTGAGGTGTAATTCCAGATCTCATGGTTTATGCCCTTGTTTACTATGGCTGATAAGGCACTGTGGTTCTTTATGAACTGAGGAAGAATTTGCTTGTGGCTTTCTGGGTTGTATCTTTTTTGGCATCTATAAATTTGAATGTCAATTTGGCATGAATGCAAAGTGCACTTTTGATGTTGATCATTTTGAGTTGTAAGTTAAAAATATTACAAAATAAGTGGGGAAAGGTACAAAAAATGTTTTTGCACTTCAGTTGTAAAAAAATTATAAAAAATAAAATATGCCTCTAATTTTCGAAATAATGCAGATGAAGTTGTAAAATTTTTAGGATTTTAAATAAAATCTGTGTGAGATTTATGTTCTGATTGCGTCAAATTGAAATATATCCATCTTCAGAGAACTTTGTGTGATGTTTGCAACGCTGTTCCGCTCACAGTGAAAGCCAACACCAATGGCGCTCTAAGGCCTGTGGGGTTTTGAAGTATTCTTGGCTAAATACTCATCTCTGGACCACGGAGCCCCCCGTGAGGCATCTCCCTGACTCCCAGTTAGCTACACTATAAACACTTCACTCAGGAATGGCAGCTGTTCCCAAATGGTACTTGGTACATTCCCCTTCTCCCACAGTACCCTCCTCATCTCTCTCTCACTCTGTCTCATCCCAGCTACAATGTTTTCAAATGCACAATGGAGCCATTATAAGGAACTTTATTTGTGAATTCAGAATCCCTGGTTTCATGATTAGTAATGTCATTGTACATGCTTTGGCCGAAAGAAACTAGGTTTTGTTTTATTTCAAGGTTTATTCAGCGGTGATGCTCATTGGGCTTGTTGGAAACTAGCATGCCTGGTGGGTCAGCAGCCAGAGGAACGTCAGTGCTCAGTCCTCAGCTGCCCTGGGACCGTATGAGGCTTATGCCTTGAAAAATCAAGAGTCTCTATTACACCAACTGCATAAATGATGGGCAGCCTGCCCGTGGCTCGTGATCTGTTATTAGCCCCGTCAGTTTCCATTCGACCTGTTGACATTTTAAACAACATGCGGCAGTGACTTGTTTTATTTCGGCTAATGTGTTGTGGAAGTTAGCACAGTTCTAGCACAATTTAATCAGCCGAGCTGAACTAAAGAATGATTGGGGTTGATTAACCCTCTCCGAACCTGCAATATGCGACCATGTGGCCCTGGTTTCACCACAGATGGGATTTAAAAACAAACAGGCCTCATCACTCTGGGAGGTGTAGTATGATTCAAAGAGTACTGAGGGAACGGCTTGTTTTGTTTGCAAAGCCCAGAAACGCAGAGCCATGTGACTGATGATGGTGGTCAGTGCTCTGTGGAAATCAGTAATGGCTCAATTTATTTTTCATAATTGATGGCTAAATATTTCTCTAAGGGACTTTAAGGTACAAATGAGAATTTTCAATATAGCTGCTTTTTAAAGAAGAGTTATTTAGTATAATGTAATATACTGTAGTCGTATTTATTAATATTTTGTATTAGCTTTATATTTTCAGTTTTCATTTTAAGTTTTAGTAATTTTGTTTTTGTCATTACATATTTTCTGAAATATTTTTATTTACCTTTTGTTTTGTTTTGTTTTTTGTAGTTTTAGTCATTTTAGTACTTCAGCTTATATTTATTTTTTTCACTTAGTTATAAAGGCAGGATTTAGGTTTATTTAAGTTTATGTTTTTAGTTCATTTAGGTTTATTTTTCCCATCTAATTTTCATTTTATTTCAGGTATTTTATATATTTTATTTTTAATAGTTTTATTTCACACCTGTATGACATTCTTTTTTTTCTGTGGAACACGAAAGTGTTTTGTTTTTGTCTATGCAATTAAAAATCACTGTGACTTGTTGTTTGGACCCATTGATCTTCATGGTATGGACAAAAATAGTTCAAACATTCTTCAAAACACCTTCTTATGTGCTCCACAGAAAAATTAAATTCATGCAAGTTTGGAACAATATGATGGTGAGTAAATGATGATAAATTTCATTTTTGGGTGAACTATCCCTTTAAGGCCACATTTTATTACCTCTATAGTCTGCAGTCTCAGACATCAGGGTGGGTGATAGGTCATTTCTTCTTCTTCCAGTCACTGGGAGTTGAAGTTAAGTGTTTGTAGGACAACAAATTTGTTCTCCTTACTGTCCCAGATGGTCTAGTACTTTATTTGCTCAGCATTTGTCTCAGAAGATTTAATTTGTGTCACATAAAATTGCTAGACATTTGTCTCCAATAAAATTCTAACTTTACAGTAAATGTTACACAAGACACCCCCCACCCCAATTCTTCACCTTATCATCAGGATTATTTGACTGTTTGTCTTTTTATCCTGTCTTATTTTCTTCTCTATATGTCCTGCTGCCTCTTCCTGATCAAAATTGAATCTCTCTCTCTGTCGTCTATCGCTACTGTCTTTTCACCCTCCTTGCATCTCTTTGCTCAAATTTCTCCCATTGGCCAGCGCTGCCAAGACTAGCTGGCACTATGACTTGTAGTATTTTTAGTGTGTGAGCATTGCGTCTTCTCAGCACCTGATGACACCTGTGAAGAACACTGATAAGTGTGTAGTAAAGATCAAGATGCCAATCTGCTTGACATCAACTTCATTGCCATTTCATAATTTTGGGATGTCCAGCTCTAAATAGAGGTTTAACCAGATCCATGCCTGGCCTGCCACATCTGATTTAAGGTTCTTTTAAAGTGAATTACAGAGAGGTTCATCTTTACAGACGTTGGGGATAAGTGGGCGAGCTGCTCTGGCAATAAAATACTTGGTATAAATACCACCATGATATAAACAAGTTTATGGCTGTGTAATTTAGTGCGTTCACAGACTTAAACATTTTAGCATCTGGAATATGATTTATACCATTTTAATAACTGTGACACTCATTAGATCATAGGAAAATAGGAGTGTTATTGAAAGGTCATAGCACATTCTCCACTAATGCATAAACAAAAATGTAAACTTTAAAATAAAATAAACAATGAATAGCAGATGCCAACTTTTTGTGGTAAAAGTTTTTGTTCAGTCAGGTTTTTATTATTATTATTTAATTTTAAATGTCACATTTGTTTTTATTTATTTATTTATTTTTTTTAAATAATAGAATGAACTCAATGCATCCTTAAAAATGAAGTAAAATGGAGGGTGAATTTATATTCAATATAACATTAACGTTCATATGCATTTGATTATACAGTGAGCCTGTGGGGAGATGCTTTTCTAATATTATCAGTCTGAGAAAAACTGAGTCTGAAGATCTATGTTTAAATAGGCTGGAAGTCTATGAAAGGGGATCCAACACATCAACACATGGAAGCATGAGAATGACATGAATGAAAATAGCCGTGGGACATAATGGGCTCAAGGGGCTCAAAGGCAGATGATAATAGTTTACTGTATCTTAGCAGCCATTGCTTTGGTGTGGTGTTTATTGGTTTATGCCGGTAAGCACGCAACATATAGGCCTACCTAAAAACACATCCCCTAAGGCTGTTATTGTTATTTTTTCTGTAAAGAACAGCACAGACAGAAACCGAGTGGGAGAACAGAAAGGGTAATTGTTCCACACCTTCTGTGAAACAAACCTGTGGATCCATGTTAAATGAATGCCAACTAAGAAAACAAATCCTGATGAAAGTGCTTAGCTGAAACAAAAACACACCTTTGAAACATTTAAAAGGTTGAAGATAAGAGGAACAATCATGTACCGCTACGCACACATGCACACAGCTTCCCTTATTAGAAAATTGGGCAGCATATGTGCATACGTGCGCACTCAGTCATGATGTCATGGAACAGACGTACTAAAATGCTTAGCAATCGTTCAGAGCTTTAGACCATATATGATTAAGTTCTCCGAGTTTTTCCTTGGCTCTCCAGACACAGAGGTGATTAAAGATGAAGCTGTCAGCTGAAAGTGAGCTTCAGAAAAATTTGACGCCACAAACTGAGTGATAGCTTTAACATCCACATGGCTCGCCTCTGTATTGCAGCTCTGTACTGTAATTTAATGGCAGCCATCTTTATGTCATCTGTTATTTTGTAGGAATCCGCAGTGAGGGAGGATTTAGACTAACCAGTGAACTATGATTCCAAAGATGTTTCCCTGCTGAGCTCCTATTAGTTTGTGACTGTCCGTGAATGTACAAGATTCAAAAACGTGGTTTGTTGGTAAAGCATGTCATACCCTGCATTTGATGTCTTTCCTGCTTGTAATCTGATTCCTATGATTTGCGCTGAACTGACTGAAGAAATTGATTCCTTTTGGGAGAGAAGACCAGCTGAGAGGTCAAAAGTCAGGATCAGACACCCTCCCCTGCAGCGCTACACGAGAAGGGTCAGTCGGGCAGATTCTCAGCCATTAAATTGGGTAGGAATGGAAAAGCCTCATTGTCCACTGACCTCCCCTGACCCCATCTCCTCCTATGCCTTCTGGACCTAGTGCCGGGAAGTGAAGTCATCCACACCGGTTTATCAGGTCTACTGGGGGCCAGTCATTTTCTCTTTACCTTGTCTGTCTTTTCTGTCTCTGTTTATCTTTCTACCATTAGTCATGTTAGCGTCTGTGTCCCTCTGTCAGCTCAATCAAGTGTGTTTGCACTTAGACACAGTCATCAATAGCTCTGGCGCCTCTGTTGCATGCCTCAGTGTTCTTTCTTTTCATTTAATATGGAGTAGTATAAGTTTATTGCACAGCTCTCTGGAATGCTCGATTGGGATTGGTCAGTTGCAACATTCCATGGTCAGATATTTCTGCATATAGGCCTCTAAACTGTACATTTGATCATTGTACCCGGCATCCAGTCCCCTACACTGTGCTAGTATCTTGTAGTCTCTTTATTCACATATAATAAAATAATTTAAGCAAAATCAATAAATAATGTCCATTATTTATTAAATAAGTGAGGGGCATAATGGGGTGTTTCTTCAACTATGGGCACTTTTCCCAGCGGTTGATTTTTCTTAAGTTGTGATGTTACAGAAATAGTGACAGATCTTGTATTAATTTTTGACATAAATTTGAGTGAAATGGATTATGGAAAAAGAAAAAAAAAGTGTAGGGTGGTTGTTGATTGGATGGAGGCAGATCTGAATGCAAACTCTGGTGAAGTCTAGTATATATGTATATGTCTATCAGTCACTGATGTTTAAATTAAAAATGATCTGGTCGAATAATTTTTTTTGTAAATTAAAAATTAAACAACATGGATGAATAATCACAATTAGATCAATAACATTTAGGCCTGGTTTCACAGACGGGGCTTAGACTAAGCCAGGATTAGGCCATAGTTCACTTAGGACATTTAAGTAATTTTTCATAAACATGCCTTAGAAAAAACATTACTGGTGTGCATCTTGAGACAAATCAAAGGCACTGATATATTTTAAGATTAGTCAGTGCAAGTTTCTTTCAGTTGAAACAGCTCAGACTTACATTTTAGTCTGGGACTAGGCTTAAACCTTGTCTGTGAAACCGGGGGTTAGTGTTTAGAGACTACTATGAATACTACTTTCTAAAGTCTATATAAAGAATGAAATAAACAATAAAAACAGTTTAAACATTTATTGTATGAAGATTATTTTTTACCCACATTATGACTCTCCCTCAGTTGTAATGTTTGACGACATAGTTATTGAGAGATATTTGATCCATGAATACAATTTAAAAAAATTTATTTGTCAAATTATGCAAAAAGTGTAAAAAAAAAAAAATTACAATTATGATACAATTGTTTGTATTAAGGACACATAAAGTGCTAGCAATGAAATCATCCAAAACAAAGAAATCTGCCATTGTCTTACAAAAATGTCATTTATATCCCCATCAATTCCACTACAGAATAGTGATTTGAGATGTGGTGGAAATGAGATTTGTTCATGACAACTAAACATTTATTGTATGAAGATTATACATTTTTTACCCACATTATGACTCTCCCTCAGTTGTAATGTTTGACGACATTGTTATTGAGAGATATTTGATCCATGAATACAATTTAAAAAAATGTATTTGTCAAATTATGCAAAAAGTGTAAAAAAAAAAATTACAATTATGATACAATTGTTTGTATTAAGGACACATAAAGTGCTAGCAATGAAATCAGCTCATCCAAAACAAAGAAATCTGCCATTGTCTTACAAAAATGTCATTTATATCCCCATCAATTCCACTACAGAATAGTGATTTGAGATGTGGTGGAAATGAGATTTGTTCATGACAACAGAAATGGTCCTGTGATACATTTATGTGTTACTAGACAAATTAAACTTTTGAGTTTGAAAATTGTGTTTCATTTTTACAGGTCAACAAGTCCAAAAGTACTAAAGAAACACCCATATACTCACAGGCTCTCATTCTCTATGCTGTGTTTTATATGTGGCAATGACTCGCTTTATTGAGCCTCCTACTATGCAGGGGTCAGAGGTAAAGCACATCCAGCACAGTCGCCCTGCAGCCACTGGTGTGGGGATGTAGGGAGTGGACTCAGAAATAATTGTCCAGGTCAGAATGTCTCTGAGTGAGCGGTGTGTGGGAGAGCTCTGCTGATACTCATCCTGCTGCTCATCATTCATTCTCACTCATGCAAGGATTATTCCTACAGGGAAAGGAAAGGCATAATCTTTCAACAGCACATCTCAGTTCAAGGTAGGAGTCTGCATTTGACTGATCCTGGATCAGGGACACTTATCAACAGCTGACCGATGTAAGAAGTCAGCCTCTACTGACACACTTTCTTGTCTCTGTTCGGCTCTCTGTATTATGTCTAATCTCCTGTACCTCTGCAGCGCGCCAGACCTGCCCACTGGCCTTATTTTGAGCTGTGACAGATGCCCAGCAGTCGCCTCATCCCTCCAGCACATGCCCTGACCTCTCTGACTTCTCCTTCCCAGCACTGCCAACAGTAGACTGGATCACCGCCACGCACAGTTTTTGTCCATATAATGAAAGTCAATGGGATATAGGTTCTTTTTGAAATATGTTCTTTTGTGTTTCACAGAAGAAAGAAAGTAATATAGGTTTGGAATGTCATGAGGGTGAGTAAATGATGATAGAAGTTTCATTTTTGGGTGAACTATCACTTTAAATTCTGTCTGGCTCTCATTGAGAATGATTTGTGTCCCAGCAGATAACCTTTTCCAGGCCCATCCTGCTTCTGCTTCTAACTGTCTGTGAGTCTCCTCACCTGTTAAGCTAAATGTTGTGGGGGACGAAGGTAATATATTATTAATAGCATCAAACATGCAAGTCAAGTAAGAACAAAAATATTTTATTTCAGCTTTCAACAGTTCTCATTTTCATTTAGTTTAACTTGGTACTAAAATAACTAAAGTGAAATAAAAAATTATAACAACTATGTAGACATCTAAAAAAAAAAAATTAAAAGACTAAAATTAAAATGCTGTTTTAATTAACTTTATATTCATCAAAGAATCCTGGGAAAACTAAAATATTAAGCAGCACAACTGTAATAAGAAAATTTTAAGCACCAATCAATTATGTATTTATTGTGTCTGCAGTTTGTGATGTACATATAAATGTAAATTTCAGTTGTGGTGGTGTCCATTGCTTCCTAGAGGATCATCACTATGGCCTGATGTTAACATTTTATCATATTATAAATAACATATTATTTATAACATTTGAGTGCAGATTTCCCAGCTAGAAACACGTTTCTATGGTAGGCTATTAAATACTGTAGTGATATATGCTATTTATATTACAATACATACATTTGCAAGACATGAAAGGCTCCCAAGTGGTCAATAGTGCTGTATACTGTAGTAGAACAAAACTTTAGTAGAACATAAATGATAGCTAATATATATATACTACTTAAGTATTCAACATTTGCCGTATAAATTGGTTGTCAGTTCCAATTGCAGTGTGATATGTTTTTGCTTTTCTTTTCATTCTTCTTTCACTTTCATCATTGTGAAAATATCACTAGTGCCTTGTCATAATATTTCACTGTATTTTTACCAGGGTGAATGGCTGCTAATGAGCTACAAAGCACTCTTACTGGAGGCTGATACTGTTACTGCAGTGTGACCATACTGCAATAGGCAGGTGTATGAGTGATTACATACATTTGGCTCTGATCCCTCGCAGGTGAGCACATGCACGTATGCCACGTCAAAGCCTGTTATTGCACAAATTAGTAACACTTTCGCTCTGAGCTCACAGGCCCGCTGTGATGTGTTTGCGTTGTGTCAAAGGCTGATTTGTGTGCAAAGACTTCATGCTAATAATATGTTGTAGCTCACTCTGAATGTTCATTCCAAAGTCTCTTTGTGTTCAGACAATTAGGAATGTTACACATACTCAAACACACACAGACACCTAGTTTAATTCACCTGGAGGGGCCTCCGTGCTTCAGCCTGTGAAGGGCCTCTCAACCGTCATGGTGAATAGCTCACACCAAATGAAAGATTTTACAGGGGCTTGCATTCTCTTGCTCTCACACAAGCCTTTGTTTGACTGACTGTTTATCCAGCACTTGGAAATAAGCAGTATTGGAAACTGGCACCTGAATGAATCAAATAAGAAACATTCAACTGAATTTCTTGCTTTTTTAACTTTAGCTTTTATATTATATTATATTATATTATATTATATTATATTATATTATATTATATTATATTATATTATATTATATTATATTATATTATATTATATTATATTATATTATATTATATTATATTATATTATATTATATTATATTATATTATATTATATTATATTATATTATATTATATTATATTATATTATATTATTAGAGTTAATTATAATATAATCTAGTTATAGTTGTAGTTAATTAAAACCATAAATAAATAAAAATAAAAAAACTTGTTGTTTTGTAACAAAATAAAATAAAAACTTAAACTTAAACTTAAACTTATTTTATTTCAGCTATTTGCCAAGGTAACATTTCTCATTTTCATTTAGTTTAACTTGAGGTACTAAAATAACTAAATTAAATAACTAATAACTAAAACTGAAATAAAAACGAATATAGACATATTATTTAAAAAGATAATAATAATAACAAAAAACAGAAATATAACATTATATATTATATAACAGAAAATATAAATATTTCAAAATATTAATAAGAATTAAACTAGAATTTTGAGGATACTAAATAACAGTGAATATAATTTAATATTATTATATTATGTGTATTTATTTTTTACGATTACTTGAGTTCAAACCGTTACTGGTGGAGCCTTTATTCTCTTAAACATGCAGTTATAAAATGCATTATGGAACCAGATGACATGTAGAGTAAAAATATGCACATCAGTATTTTCATTTTATGTTTTGACTATTTTTTTTCTTTCACTTTAGACCACTATGTAGCCTACATGTTGACATCAACCACTAATAGAAAAAATATGTTTTTCTTCCCTCAAGTGAGAAACCAAAATGGTCATTCTCTGCACAGCTCATGTAACTCTCATCAGGAACACGGTCAAATAAGCCCATTATTACGCTGTCCAACCACTCCAGAGGAGCACACGTATCCCAGCTCATCACTCTCAGCACGATAACACTAATACCAATGATGATTTTCAAAGTGCACTGTTGTGTATGTTTGTGTCTGTGTGTGCATGCATGCGTTAAAGACTATGTGGCCTCGCCTTCTAACGGTTAAAGAGACTGGATGATGTCATGCAATATGAGGCTGCTGTAGGGCAAAGGAGCCTGGGAGGTTTTAGCTGAGTTTCGGTACAGCAGAGCAGATTGCAGAAACAATAGATGGATATGACAGAAAATGTGTTTTGGCTTGAGTTGCCTCGATTACATCACTCTTACTTGCTTCCTAGAAAATCTATCATTGCTAAAGTATTATTCTTGGCATGGGCTGCAGACTGATAGTTCCTGCTTCTCAGAAAGGGGCTGCAGCTTTGTGGAGACGTTTTTGCATTTATTGTGTGTGCTTTTACTTTCTGCTGTTTTTCTTGCACTCATATACTGTTCAAATATTTGGGGCTGGTAACATTTTACAATTTTTCTGAAAGAAGTCTCTTGTGCTCACCAAGGCTGCATTTATTTAATAAAAAAATACAGGAAAAACAGTAATATTGTGAAATTATTAAAATAACAGTTTTTTATTTGAATATATTTTAAAATGTAATTCATTCCTATTATTGTAAAGCAGCTGCAGTCTTCAGTCAGTGTCACGTGATCCTTCAGAAATCATTCTAATATGCTGATTTGGTGCCCAAAAAACATTTCTTATTATCAGTGTTGAAAACATCTGTGCTGATTTTTTTGGAATCAGCAATATTTATTGGAATTTTTAATTTTTTTAATTTTTAATTTTTTGTAACAATATAAAAGACTTAACTGTCTCTTTTGATCTGTTTAATGTGCTGTGTGTAAAAGGATTTTTGATGAATAAGAAGTTCAACAACATTTATTGGAATTTTTAATTTTTTGTAACAATATAAAAGACTTAACTGTCTCTTTTGATCTGTTTAATGTGCTGTGTGTAAAAGTTTTATTTTATTTTTTTGTGATATTTTTCTATTTATTTATTTATTTATTTATTTTCTTACATGAGCCCAAATTTTTTAACAGTAGTGTAAAAAATAGTGAGGTCTATTTTTCACTCTTTTCTTTTGAATTTTCTTTGAATTAAATCAGCATAACAACATGAGTCATGTTGAATTGAATAATACTTTATTTTTTGTTTTAAAACCATTTAAATAATTTAATTAAGTTTAATAATTTATTCATTGACATCCACAAGTTTGTGTAAACCCTGATTATCATATTATCTGAGATGATCCATGGAAGCAGGACATATGGCACAAATTTACATATTTGATTTAGTCTTAGAAATATTTAATAATATTTATTTAACGCCACAATCATAAATATTTATTTTCATTTCAGGGTATAAATGAAATAAATCCCAGATTTTCCTCAAACTTTTGGACAAATTTTTTCCCCACATTTGTAGAATGATAGAACTTTTTGGATCTTTTCTCAACCCTTAATGTAATCCAAATGAGATGATCCACAGCTTTCATTGAGCACTATAATTTCCCCATTGTTCTTTTTAAAGGTTGGGCAATGTGTAGCTCAGTTTACACCAGAATGACAAACAGCCTGTTTAATTTGGAAGGAAATTGTGATTTTGAGACATTAAGTAAATAAATATTAACAAACCTCAGCCTAAATCCAAACGCAATATTAAGTCATTGAGCAGTGGATGTAATTACTCTGCACTTGTTGTCACAATAGTTTCTGTTTACTTGTTCCTTTTAAAGACAAAGCCCACTTAAGACAAGGCTCATTTCATGGATGAGATGAAGTCGGAATCACTTTCTCCACTGTAAAGACATCCCAGTAGACCACTAGACCACGTTTCTACACAAGATTAAGTACAGTGTTGATCGAAGGGTTTAAGCAAACTGCACTGAATCAGGGGGTAATTGTGTTGCGGTGAGTTCTGATGTGGTTTGGATGTAATCTCATATTCCTCTTAGGCATGCTTATGTGCGTATGTATTTGATTGATAAAAGAGGCTGTTTATGTGTGTGTGTGCAGCAGTGGAGATCAACACAGAGTACAGCTCAGTCAGCCCATCCTGGCCATTCAGAGCAAACGGGGCTGTAATTATCCGGAGCCAGTCATCTCAGGAGGTCGGCTGGGATTTGGGGAATGTGTCCCCCTCCTCCACATCCTTGTTCTTTTCACCTTTCAACCCCATCGTTCTCCTCAGCATAAGGGCATTTCTTCAGCTGGAGGATCACACTGTCACACCAGAGTGGACAAGACTGGCCGTTCGGTGTCCATCTCAGTGATGTGTGTGAGTATGTGAATGGTTTGTGAGAGCATGACATCAATCACCTCTGGTTCAGATATGCATTATAGTCACATTTCAACCATAACTCACGTCATGGTGCAGCCTGCCAGAAATTGATCTGCTTATGCCTCTGAGAAAATGCCAAGAATATCACAAAAATAACTTTAATCAGTTTTATTGTTCTCTTGTCTGCTTCTCGCACTCCCCCTCTCTCTCACTTGGCACCATGTGCACTTAATTAAATTGACTTTGAAGTGACTATGACATCATGATTTGGCTGTTATTCTTCTGGACCTGTTTGGACTTCTGGGTTCCCATGGAAACTCTGATGTAATGGCCACGCAGATATGTTTTCAGGAAACCCACAGTGGGTTTTACACGTGGTGAAATAGATGGGCTTTTGTTTTTTTAAAAGGATCGGAGGTTTGTCAACAGCAGATGAAAGCCAGACAGGGTTCGCAGGGCATTGGTTCGCTCAAACTGAGGATGAAACTTCAGCCTTTAGACTGATGGGTTGACATTTTCTCAATGTGAATAGGAAAAATTTCAGTCTATGTCATCACGGCTGAATGTGGTTAAAGAACCATGTGCTCTAAAGCCTTAGTGGTTCAACCGGTGTGTGTCAAAGTTTAGTGACATAGAATTCATGATTTGTGGTTAACTTGACTGTTTACTGCATGTTTCCCACCATGCCTCATTCTTTCGAATAAGTTATTTTGGGAGGGCACCACTGATCCATTTATAATAAGTCATAGTTAATATTGCTAGAAAGATTTTTACATGATTCCACAAAAATGTATCTTCACTGCTGCAAAACAAGCTTAAACATTCTTAGCTAGTTTGTTTCAGCTGCTAGAGGCATGTCAACTAATTAGGCTGGGAGACCAGCTTAAACCAGCTAAGACCAGCAAACCAGCACCAAAAGCAGAAATGGGGCATGACATGAAACAATCAATCACCAAACATAGCCAATCAGATCATTTTTCCTTGTTTGCACGTTTTGAAAAAGCGTAAAGTTGTTCACATATCTTTTTTTTTAACTTCCAAAAAGCTTCAATAAATGCCATGCTTTTTATGGTTTTCTTGTAAAACTTGAGGGATTTGTCAGTTTTTCACACATTATTTAATTCTCAACTTCCCCAATCAGTCTCTCTCCATCCATGTCTTTTGATGATATATTCTTCGATTCCAGTGATGAAAGTCCTTTAAATTGGCATGGTACTTTGAAATTAGTTCAGCTATTGTATTTAAATCTGAATGCAGGATTCAAAAATGTTTTAGCAGGCAACCTAATGTGATTTTTTTTTTTAAACAAAAAGGATGCATTCAATCCTATCAAAAGTGATAGTAAACACATTTATAATGTTACAAAAAGATTTCTATTTCAACACAGAAATGCATTCTGTGTTAAAGGCTATATATTCTTCGATTCCAGTGATGAAAGTCCTTTAAATTGGCATGGTACTTTGAAATTAGTTCAGCTATTGTATTTAAATCTGAATGCAGGATTCAAAAATGTTTTAGCAGGCAACCTAATGTGATTTTTTTTTTAAACAAAAAGGATGCATTCAATCCTATCAAAAGTGATAGTAAACACATTTATAATGTTACAAAAAGATTTCTATTTCAACACAGAAATGCATTCTGTGTTAAAGGCCCCTTAAACTGGTTTAAGGGGATGTTCACATAGAACGTGTTTTTGTGTTAAAAACTGCAACATGAGAGTAGCAGAAAAAACCTGAACATCCGATGCTGTCCTATTTACTCAGGAAACAATTGAAAACCTGCACAGTACAATGCAAACCTTTTATAGCTTGTGGTAAGCATGCAGTGTTTGTTTGTAAAATAACAACTATGGAGAAAGTTCAACATAATTACATGATTGCTGAAAGTGTTAAAAATAAACAAAGCAGTCTTTCATGACTGTTTATCTGACTTGTTAATCTTGTACAAATTTGGCACAATGACTGTATGCATGAGTATGTTTAAATCAGACAGGTTAATCTTACAGGTGAGTCCTTCTCTCATGTCAGTGTTGAAAATACCTGTGCAGGTTATCTCTGTCACTGATCCCTCCTCAGATAAGAGTAAACAGATCTTGCGTGAGCATGTGAGGTCTTGCACTGGTCTGTCTCGGTGCTACTGATCCAAAAAGCGTATCTGATCCATTCTGCTCGACTTCTCAGAATCACCATCATGTATCTCAGGATCAGATAAGGGCAAAAGGGAAGAAATGGTGGCTGCATTCGATACAATAACAAACTGCCAGGGAAAAGCACAACATTGTGCCATTCCTCCATGTGCCTGTTGCTGATCCTGAGAGACATTTACAACCCATGCCTGATGTGAAAGTCTGACATCATTGCAAGATGGAAATCTTATTTGAAGGGATGAGGGGGGGGGGGGGGGGGGGAAAAAAAAAAACCCTCCGGGGGCAGAGCGAGCCAAAG